CCTATCTAAAAGGCCTTCTGAACAGCTTTATCTAATTGCCCCCTCCCCATTCTTAACAAAAACAAAATAATTCATCATTTACCTTTATTTCACAATATGAATACACTTAAACACTACCATTAAAGCATTATTTGAATGGTTTATCTTTAAAGCCCCACGAGGAATATAACCATTATGTGCTACAAACATGTACCAATGAAAATAAAAATTTTTAAAAATATGACATTGTAGAGGTTGTTTTCAAATAAATTAATGACTTTCATAAAAAATACGTGCTCAAATGGCCTGGTTTCTCTAGCACTATGATATTTTGCATTTTAGCTATCCAAATACTCAAGTAACGATTTCTGGGTTAAACAATGCCTTCACCTGGACCAGAAAAAAGTTATAACAGTGTAATTAGGCATGTGTGCTGGTCTATGTCTCTGGTTTCAAGTTGGCTTAAAAATCTGCTCTGTATAATGGTATTCCCAATTTGGATATAAAAGAAATGTTTGTTTCAGGGAGACTTGTACTAGAAATGTGTTAATTTGTGAAAATAAATTACAACTAAGGCAGCAACAGAGTGGCCAGAAGTAAACAACAGGACTGAGGGAGACTTTTTATGATAGTCTAGACAGAGGGGTACAGATTTAGCCAGAACATGTGTACATTCATTAAAACATCTAGTCCTGGGCCGGGGATTTAGCTCAGTGGTTCCATAGCCTGCAAGCACAACGTCCCGAGAGTTTGATCCCTGGTACCAAAAAAACCAAACAAACCCCCCCCCGCCCCAAAACCAAACAAACATCTAGTCCCTTTGGTCTTCACTAAACTAAATTAATTCAGTATGATGATAATGATTACTTCATGATGAACTGAAACCTGATTGGTTATTAATGACATCATAATAGAACATATTCCTCATATATTCTGGTAAATATAAATGTGGAAAAGTTAATATCAATTAATAATGTATCTGTGTTTAATCTTGAGTTAGGGGTCTTTGGACAGGACTCAGAGGCAGAGGGAACACCAAATAGGCTTGCTTTCTTCATGCCAGAGACGTACAGAATCTACTGTTATTTAATCCAACAGTTCATGAAAGTGTGCAGAGAATTTAACTGTAACAGCACAGAAGTATAAATAGAAAACTGGTACTTCAAGTTACCAAGAGTACAGAAAACACCTCACTCTTCAGACATGTGACTAGCATGTGACTAGCATGTTAGTCCAGTGACTAGCATTAACATGGTCACAGAACCTATACTATCAAAATAGTTTAAAACCTTCAAGCTAAATGAAGGTAACACCAATCTATTTTCAAAACCTCATAATAGTTTTCACTGAGGCTGAATCAGAACATTTAGTTTAGAACAGCATTCATTTTTAATCATTATGTTTGAGTTGGAACCTTAAACATGAATGAATGTTTTCCTTTCAAGGAAACCTAAGATAAATATTAACAGCTAATCGTTAGATTAAATATTAGGGTAAAGTGGAAGCAGGGAAGTTGTCTTTCTGATTTAAATAATCTATAATGTTCTCAGTGAATATAAGATACTTCGAGGATAATAGCTATTAAACTTCAGGCCTGGTCTGAAATAAGTTTAATTTTTATTTTAAAAACAACTGTTACGGGATCATAACAAATTATAAAGCTTCTGCACAGCAAAAGAAACAACCAACAGAGTGAAAAGGCAACCTACAGAATGGGTGAAAATTTTTGCCAGCTACTCCTCAGAGGACTAATATAAATACAAAGATAATAAAATATAAATTTAAAGAACTCAAAAAATTAGACTGCTCAGTAAAAGACCCAATCAAAAAATGGGCAGGTGAAATGAATACACACTTCACAGAAGTACAAACGTGAATAAATACATGAAGAAATATTCAACATCACTGGCCATTTGAGAAATGGAAATTAAAACAACAGTGGGATTCCTTCTCACTCCAGAAAAGAATAGGGATCATCAAGAAATCAAATAATGACAAATGCTGGCGAAGCTGCAGGGAAAAAAGAACTTTTCTACATTGTTGGTGAGAACGCAACTTAGTACAACAACTACAGAAATCAGTATGAAGATCCCTCAAAAAAAAAGCCCAAAACCCTAAAAATAAAAATTTCATTTGACCCAGCTATTCCCCTTCTAGGTACCTTTCCCAAATAGTTAAAGACATTATGTTACAGTGATGCATGCATACCCATGTTTATAGCAGCACAATTCTTAACAGCTAAATCTTGGACATAGCCTATATGTCTGTCCATCAGCAGATGAATGGATAAAGATAATGTGGTATCTACACATAGTGGGGTAGTACTCTTTCATAAAGAAAGACAAGCTTGAGCCATTTGTTAGAAAATGGATGCACTTTGACTTAATAATGTAAAGTGAAATAAAGCAGACACACAAGCTTAAATATTGTATGGTTTCTCTCATATGAGAAACTCAAAATATAAATAAAGAGCAAAATAAAAGATAAGAGGAAGTAGAAGGATAGATCTTTCTCAAATGGGAAGGAGCCCAAGAGATGGAGGGAAAGGAGGAGGAAAGGGGATGATTTTCTGTAAGTGGGGGTTTCTGGTATTTTTTCTTAAAACGAACAATGGCTGGTTATTCAGGCTGTCTAAAGTGCCTACAGTGAAGATGATATGAAAATTTCCCAGAGAAAAGATCAGATTCCAAAGTTGACAAATGAAGCTGACACAAAGCACTGCATTACTTCTGTCACAACATCCATGTTCTGACAGTGACTACCTGCTTGGACAAGGGACCTAACTGCTCTGGGCCTTGGTTTCTTTACAGTAAAAGGAGAATAATAATAGTATTTATCATCTTTCATGACTAGATCGTTTAGGATAGTGCTTCACACAAAGTAAGGTCACAATAAATGTTCATTGTTGTAACTGCTATTTTTAATAGACAAATCCATACAAATAAATAGAATTATTGGTTTATAAGCTGTGATATATCTTTACCATAGCCATATCCATATTCTTCCTTTTAGCCTTTGACACTGTAATTTTATATGCAAATCTGACCACTTGAACACTTTTTTTTAGTCGCTGAGTTTCAAGATACAAATGTGTGTCGTGAGATTTAATCAACTCCTTCTAAAATAATCACAAAACAAACAAGCACAGCATGCTAACTGGCTTATTTTAGGAGAAGTGATCAATCTTTTTCTTCACATATAAAACAATCTCTGCAACTATTAATAGTAATGATGCTTATTTGGAGGATTTTTAGTTTGAGAAACACTTTCAGTGCAAAGGTGAGGAAGCTCTTCCTATCTCTTGCTTTTCCTTACTCTGAATTCTCCACAGGGACAGCCACATTTTTCACTGTACTTATGCTTGGACACACAAACAGGAGGCATCTGCATGTAGTAGCAGCCCTCATATTATTTTCTGCCCACTCTTCTTATAGTTCATTGAAGCAGGGAGGAGAAATGAAAATCCAGTCTTTTCTCTAACACAAATTCACAGAAAACCTGGAAAACCCATAATTGTCTCACAAACAACAAGACAGCTAAACTGCATTATTAAAAACTGTTTTGAGAACTGTCATTTAATCTTAAAACTTTTGTCAAGATTTGACAGAAAATGCCAAGTTAACAGTCATCCCTAAGCTTGCTCTCTCTTTGAAGCAGCAAACTGCCACAGAACTATGTTCTTTTCACATAAAATGTTTTACTTTACAAATCAGAAATATAAAAATTTGGCAGTATAGTGAAGGAAGCAAAGTCAATACTAAGGTAGTTCCTTAACCTTCAAGAATCAAGATCCCAATATAGAATCACTGATTTTTAAAACTGGAAAGAACTGTGCTTTGAAGGCATTTAATAAAGAGCAAACAATAACGGTAACAACAAAAACAATGTTATTTTGCAGTTATTTTTAAAAATTCAGTCATCTCTTCAATCATGTTATTAAAGACAAGTGAAGGAAACAATGTGTCATTCTAACACCTTACAATTTGGAAATTCATTTGATTTACAGTCACTTCCCATGGATAATAATCTATAGGTTTGATTTGTTGTTTTCGTTTTCGTAGAGCTACGGACTGAAACCAGGGCCTCACACATGCTAAAGAGATGCTCTACCATTGAGCTACACCTCCAGCTCAATCTTGGTAGTTTTGAAAATCTTGTTTTTATTTGTTCTTAGTACATCCTCTACGTGCTCACCATGCTATCTACCTCCACTAGTCTTTACCAGAAAGTAAACACATTTTATGAACAGCACCAGACCTATAGCAACCCCAAAGGATTCGATCTTACATGTGCAGCAAAGACTTGACATTTAGGGTCCTCCAACCAGGGATGAAACCTATCTCTGTCCTCTGCTGAGATGGGACGTCTGCTTCCACTGTCAGAAATGAGGCCAAACTCAAAGAAAAGGAAACTGGGCCACCATTGTAATCTAATGTTCCATTCATTATGTGTTACTGAAGCTGTCAAAGAACAGACATTTCTTGGTAGAGGAGTTTATGTAGTCCAATAAAAAACAATTTACTCCTAATCCTCCAGAGATCATGAGCCTAAGAACTTTATTTTATGAAACCAGGATAACAACATGGAAGGCCACACTGCCTTTAAAAGGATGAACTTTTGAGGAAGTTTGCAGAAGAAATTAAGAAGTATGTGAAGACTATAAAAAGAGAAAGAACAGGAAAAGACTATAATTCACCATTTAAAGAAAATTCTGGGAGATAAACTTTGCATTGGAGTTTAAAACACAGCTCTGTTCATAACAAATGACAGTTATCAGTGCCCCCAGAAATGGGCTCCATGATGTCAGTTTCAAGCTTTCCTAGGACTTTTTAAAGCATCTCTCTAACTTCTTGATAGCATCTCTGGGCCTTACCCTATGAAACCCAAATCCCCAGGAAGCTTGGAGCTACACCAAGTGCCTCCATGTTACCCCCGTATCTGCTCATTCAGCACCAAATTCTGTATGACAACTATTCTAGAAAAGTCTAAATATAGGTAGTTTGTTAGACCAATTAGAAATGTCTTTCAGGAATAAAAACATGAAGTAAAAATGAAGAATTCCCTACCTTGAATACAGCAAGCTGCTGATTAATTGTCTCTATCTCCATCCCAACAGGACCTTGTGACTCTTCATGTTCCTCAGTCTTTTGGAGCAGAGTAGAAAATTCTTTAAATTTGCTGTAGAATTCTTTAAGACGTTCAAGCATTCCTTCAACCTGCTCCTCTCTAGCATGTGCTCGGTCTAGTAACTTGTTACACTGTTTGCTTAGGGCCTCCAAGTCTCTTCTGATTCCAACAAGGTCAGGAGAAGCTTCTTCTGTGGCCAGCATCATCTTGCAGGTTTTATTGGCATTGTCATTGCTTGCAATGAGGGCTTCTAGTTTCTTCAGAAAGATTTTTATAGCATCCTTTTGCTTTTGTAATGTTTCTACATCTCTTCCCACTGGAGCCATGCTATCCAGCTCATCATCAAACTCTGTAAACTGAGAAAACATTTCTCGGATGGTATTCTGGAAATGTCCAATGCCCTGAAGCTTGGTTTCTAAGAATGAGCACTTTTCATCAACCTGCTGATTTAGTGTACTATGCTCTTTTGCTAAGGTTTCTGCTTGTAATAAAATATCAGAGGTTCCTTTCGAGTCTGAGGCTTCTACCACAAGATCCTGAGCAAGTCTCTTGGCCAAATCTATCTGGTGCTTCAAGGTCTGCAGTGCTTTCTGTTGAGTCTGCAACATGGTCAGGTATTTGTTACTGTAAGCCTGGGGCCCCAGGGAATCATGGACATCTAGCTGTTCCTTTGTACTCTGAAGCTGCCTGTTGGCTTCTTTAGAAACTTCTTGAAATTCTTTAAACTTCTGGGCCATGTTCTCCAGAGAGAATTTCTTACTGTGAAGTTGTTCAGTGACCATGTCCACCTTCTGGATCAGTGCTTTATTCTTATCTGTAACTACCTCTTTATCTACCTCACAAACACTGAGTAGGCTATTGGCTGTGTTGTTCAGCAGTTCTACCATACCAAAGTGTTGGTCCATTTCCTTCTGCAGAGACTTCAGCTTGGAAATAGAATTCTCTGTTTCAGCAGGATCCAAACAAAATTTGAATACCTCCAGGCTGTTCTGACATTTATCTATCCACGGATGGAGGGTCTCCACACATTCTTTGTACTTGAGGGCTTTTTCCAAAGAATCTTTTAACTTGTCTTCTCTTTCTTTCACCTGCTTATTAAATCCATCCCAGTTGTTTTTAATCATGTTAAGCTGTAACTGTAAGGCTGCCTTCTCAGACCCTTGTGTTTTCAATAATAGATTTTCACCTTCTGCAATGGCTTTTTCATAAATACTAAACTGTGCAGCCAAAGTTTTACTAAAGTCTTTCTGATCTTTAATTAATGATTCCAAGACTTCGAGTCTGGCTGATACTGGATGAGACTTCTTTTGCTCTTCTTTCTTTGTATCTAGCCAAGCCTGAAAATCTCTAGACCTTTGCTGAAATTGATGAGAGCTTGCACAGGCTGACTGAAGGTGCTGGACAAGATTTTCTAAAAGTGAAATTACAGATATGATTATTTTACATCAAAAGGTGAATTTAATCTATGGAAGGCCAAGAAAAAAAATCTCCAAACAAATTTACAGAAGTGTCTGACATCAAGAACTACAAGAATGACCGACACGGGAAAGAAGAAGTACGTACAACAATAAGAAAAGAGATGAGGTAAGAAGCAAAGCAGGAGAGAGAGAGGAAACAGTGACTATGAAAATAAGGAAAACTGCATCAAGGTGTAGGGTAGGGTCATAGCACACACTGCCTGCTCTGCTAACATATTCCTCATTCCAGGGTCAGAAGAGACAACCAAAGTTCTAGGCTAAGGTGATAATCTCTCTCTTGGCAAATCTGACCTTTTTGCCTCTATGACTGTTACATACAGTGGAGGTTTAATTATTTGCCCATAGTCTTGCAGCTCTGAAGAGGTTAAGCTAGGATAGAAACCCATATAATTTCTAGGTGCTACATTATGTTGCCTCCATGTCAAATAAATGAGTAAGTCTGAAATGGCTTCTGTAATCAATAAACAAATCCAATCAATTAAAAATATAAATTGAGAATTCACTATATACAGGACTTAGAAACTAGTGCTCCAGAGCAACAAAATGTGTCTTCCTCAAGCAAGACCCTCCTGACTTCCTACAACCCACTATGTTGCCTCTAACAAATACCAATAGATCTGCCACAGAATTATTGCTGCAGTAGGTAGTGAAGAAAACACAGAAATGCACATATTTCTCTAAGTTATCTATGACAGAGTGAGACAGAATAATAGCAGATGGGAGCTGAGGATATGGTTCCATGGTAGAATGCTTGTTGAGTTTGCACAAGACCTTGGGTTCAGTTCTCAGTCCCAGCAATAAAAAAAAGTAGCTATGATTATGATATAAAGCCTTTTCAAATATCTAATCATCTGTTTTTCGGTAGACTTAGGTAGTATCACATAAAAATGTTTACATCTTTTCAAAACCAACTTGGGATACCTAATATTTTAATGGGTCTTTCTTAAGCAGATTTTGCCAACACAGCATCTGTCTAGGATGTGAGTGGAGTTTCCCACTCCTGGATGTGCACAGTGCACCACCCTGTGCTCGTGTCCAGCCTACTCTTCACTAGTCTCCTTACAGCCCTGGATTATTGGAAACAGTAATATATGATATCTAGGCTACTTATGACATCTATTTCTGACCAGGAAACACAAGTATTAAGAGAAGACAGGGCCGGGGATTTAGCTCAGTGGTTCCTGCGCCTGCTTTGCAAGCACAAGGTCCCAAGTTCGACCCCCCTGGTACCAAAAAAAAAAGAGAGAAGACAGACCTGCTTTCTGTTCAATATCCTTAAATGATTTTAAGATGCTGTCCAGTTGCCTACTAAGTTCTGCTTTCAAATACTCCTCTTTAACCAGTGCTGACAGGTCCTCACAGAGTGCCTGGGCCACTTTTATCTGTTGTGTTTCCTGCTCTATTTCCTGCTTCAGTTTCTGGGCTGTTTCCAACTGCTGGTTCATAGCATCAGGGAGTGTGCTCACGGCCAGGCTGCTGCTGAGTTTACTCTCCAGCTTACTCAGTTTACTGGAAAGGCTTCTCAGCAGGCTTTGATACTGTGTGCTTTTGATAATGGCTTGGTCAATCCAGTCACATCTGTCACTCAGTTGTCCCGTGAGGCCATCCCACTTTTGGGTCACAGCTGCCAGTTGCTCTTTCACAACCTCATGCAGAGAAGGGTCTTCTCCAGGTCTGCTCAGAATGCTCTGGCCGGCTGCCCTGAGCAGTTCATACTGAGGTTTCCGGGTGTCAAATTCTTGCAGCAGAATCTAAAGTAAATACAAATTATTGTATAGTAAGTTATAGAAAACACAGCTTTAAGCATCCAAAGAGACAGAAATGGTACTTATTTATTAGTTTCTGGTTTTGTTTTTTAATTACCACTCTTGTACTTTTTATTTTAAGGACTGTGCAATTACACTGAACTAACTGCTAATTCAGAGTGTCATGGTGCTTCAGAGAGAAAACACTTTCTCTAAAATAATCATATCTCCCAAAGGGGAAGAATAGAATAAATCTTTTTTGGTAATCTAAGCAAAATTAAAATGTAATCCCAGCACTTGGAAGGCTGAGGGAGGAGGATTATCATGAGTTCGAGGTCAACTTGGGCTACATAGTGGTTCAAGGCCAGCCTGCACTACAAAGCAAGACCCTGTCTCAAACCCCACCACCACCACCCCCAAAAAGCTGCAAAACAATACATCATGAGTATAATATATTCTAACACTATTATCACTATGCATTTTCCTTAATGTAGAGTACTTCGGACTATTTCATAAAACCTGCAAAGAGAAAACATGGATAGGAAAAGACAAATGTGGTGATAGGATGATGTAAACTGTTTTCCTTTGTACTTGAAAAACTTATATGAACTTCTGTTAATTTTGCCTAGACCCTTGTGGATTTGTCAGCTTGAATTAGACTGGTCTATTGCACTGGGTTTCAAGGATTCCTCTCTGCTTCCTTCATTCTCTGTCCCATTCTAATTTTGTCTCTCTTCACCTCAGGACTGACTGCAGGAGTTGTACAGATTTCATTATCAACTATCTCAAACAAAATGAATAAAACCTTAGAGGAGTAATTTCTAAACAATAAAATTATGGCTAGCTTCTCATAAAAATGAAACAATCACATTAATACTTCAAGGAAGGTCCTTTTAAAATTTTTTAACGTGGTCTGTATCAACCACACTACCAGTGGAATAATCTGGGGACTTGGTCCACTCATGAGCTCAAAGTGCCTCCTCTGGGACAACTTGTGGCTGTAATTGTCTATAAGGCACAGCGTGGGACATCTGAAACATTACAAATCCCCTCGAAAGCACCAAGCACTCAGTGTACAGAGCTAACATATTTATGATGAAAGTGTTGGTCTCATTCAGTCAAGATGCTGAGCTTGAAACAAATTATTAAGTCATACTCACCTGCACCTGTTGCCTTTGTGTGTTCAGCATATTTGGGTCAATGGACAAGGGCCCGAGAACACTGACCATCAGTTCTTTTTCCACAAGCCACTGTTTTAACTGAGCTTCGACAGTCTGGAATTGGGTTAGATTATTGGAGGATTCTTCCAGTTTTTGTTGTCTATCAACTGTTAATTTGTTGAGTTCTTGCCACTTAGAATCTTAAAGAAAAGGGTAAAATTGGTGTTTAGTTTTTAATACACTTTAGTATGACTGGAAAAATGTATGGTATGACTCAAAATGATGTATAATGGGTATCATTCCATTTTTGTAACTCTTCTTACATAGCTAATTCAGGGTCTAACCTAAGTGGATTAACTGCATTTAATGCCATAGATTTTGTAGACCTAGTGGTTGTATATCAAGTGAAGTATAAGAATAAAATTAAATCTTATTTTAAAAGATATTGTACTAACTGGAATATTCCCTGAAGCAATCAGGATCTTGATATCTCTCATTTCTCCTGGAATTCCTATAGATTCTGTTCATTCAACTAATAGACCAATGACGATTAATCCTTTTCAAGTATCAAATCTTCAAGTATCATTTTTAAATAAGTGACTGCAAAATTTGTATATCTATCCCAAATCATCCTTTCCTATTCAAACTGCACATTAACAACCAGCTATGGAAAATTATAGCAGGAAGTATCACCAGCTCTTTCAATTCAACATTGAAAAATAAAATTAATATTCTTCTCAAAACTAATTATCTTTTCATCTTGCAGATTTCTTTCAAAGGTTATCATCTCTGCCATGTCACTTCAATTTAATACTTCTGAGTATTCTTTTAGGATGATCTATACTCTCCTACCTCCCTGATTATAAGACCTTTAATCCATGCTATAACTCCACTTTGGGTCCTCCTCATGTTTTACCTAGAACACTGATTCTCGAGCTCCAGCTGCAGCAGTTACCAAGGGATCGCTGACACCGATTTCTAACCCCTCCCCATGGTTTCTGGTGTGGGGTCTGGAAGGCTGCTCATAGGGCTCACATGGCCCCAGGAGCCACCAACCCAAGTACCAACAAGCCTTCTAACTGGTACCACTATTATTAGTGTTTCTCAGCTGCAATCCATTTGGTTCTACAATACTTATCCTTAAAAATATATATCATTTTAAAATGTGGCACCTTCCTGCTCAAATCCTTCACCACCTAACCCCTCACCACCTAGATCAGTGGTGGTGGAACTATGGCATACATGCTGCGGCCAGCTGTTTGTTACCACTGAAAACTCTAAAAGGTTTGCCATTATGATTCTAGATGATCAAACCTGAAGACCTGCCTGGTATTCAGGACCTTTCCCAATCTGGCTTCAGTCCACTGATCTTAGGGGCTCACACTGAGATGCTTAGAAGTCAAGGTTTAGCCATCAGAGCACTTTCTAGCATGTGAACATATCCACTGCTCCAGAAATGTTCATTAGTGGGTGTAACTAGCTATCTGAGAGATGTTTTTCACTTAGCATAACACACTAAAGGACTTATTTTCATAAAAACATGATCCCTGAATCTTTATTCGAATTACATTATTCTATATGGCATGTTCTGATTACAAAATAGTGCAATTAAAGCCGTTGGGATGGAGAAACATCAAAACCACTAGGAAGCTGAAATACACATTCCTCATTCACATTCTTTTCTAAAATGTCTTGATAATACTCTGCCCAAGTAACTACCATCCCCAGACAGCCACCGAATTAGGGACAAGGTAATAATAATGCAATAGGAGTCCCTATTGTTGAAGTAAATATACCTTTAAACATTAAGATTCCTTAAGCTAACCTTTTTCAAACCAAAACATACAGATTTCTAAACTACCACAGTACATCTGACTCTAAAGAAAGGATAATATTTAGTAAATACAATGAAACAACTGAAAATTAATTATAATGACTGATAGTTCAGACTTCTGTAGCACTTGCTATGTTCCTCTGAGCTTAAAGCTCACACATTAACTTACTGAATTCTCCAAAGCAGTATTACAAAGCAGAACAAATTATTATCCCTGACTTATACTCATTTTCCATATCATAATAAAAAAATGGTAAGACAACAGGCTTGTGAAGAAAATTCTATACCTATGAGGAGCAGTTTATAAAAGGAGAGGATGGGGTGGGAGGATAACTCTGGGTAAGGAAGGAAAACCACCAGTCTTCTGCAGCAAGCTACTTTTCAATACTGGTTGGTGGAGAGAAGACGAGCATTAAGCATGGGGTTTGAGGAGTCCCAGAAGTAACTTGGTAAAGGAGAAGGGATCCTGCTTTTTCCAGACAAATGAGTAAAAAGAAATTAAACATTAATGAAAAAAGTTACTCAATGCATAGCATTTTACTAACAAGTATCTACCTTCTTCATAGAAATAAGAGTTACCTGCCAATTCTAACTATAATATAATTTGAAATGACACTTTTAAAGTATGCAAAAAACAGTTTCTGAAATGTTAAAGGAACTCCAAAAATAACTGAGGCTACCAGTTATTTTCTGGTAAAGATCATAATTTTAAAAAAGATTATAATAAAAATGAAAAATGATTGTGCTTCTGTTTGGAATTTGGTGGAAAAATATAACATACCTATTTCTGTCAATATCTGTTTCCATTTAGGGGCCTCTGGAATATCTGGGTTCTCCTCCAACAGCTCTGTCAGTTTGTCCTTCAACTCTTGCACTTTGTTTACATTTTGCTTCAGTTCTGCCTCAAATGACTAACAAGGAAAAAACATAATTATACTAGAATACCAACATCAAAAGACAAAAACACAATTATGATACACTTTTTTCTCTAACATGACCAAAAGAGGAAAAAATCCACTGTTAAATGCTAAAGTGGGTAAAAATCCAGATTCAGTGGTTAATTATTTTCCTTTCCTTGTCTCTTCTAGTCTCCAACTCTGGGATAAAGGAATCCCTCAGAGGAACACTCTATGGAGGTAATGACTCTTGTTCTCATTACTGAGAAAGAATTTCATATTTGTAAACCATTATGAAAAAAACTAAGATGTCATCAGTTAGATTATACAATTAATAAGAAAACCAGTTCTGTTAAAGCCTGCCAGAATTTGAGAACTAAGGAATAGCCCTTTTGTGGACAACACAGTAAAGAGTATAAATGTACGTTAGTAATTTGTAGAAATTTTTGTCATCATTACCACTATGGAAAGACTTTTTCCCAATCTTGACAGCGCTAAGAAAGAAATATCATCTAACTATGAAAAGGGAAGCAGTAGCTACCCTATTTTATACAAGTCAGAAGAGATTTCTGGTCCAAAATTTTTCCAATAGTTGACTGGCTGGTACCCAAAACCGATACCAATTTGAAGGTGACACAGTTACACCAAACAGCTTGCTTGCCTTTGTATGTCAGTGTGCACAAAAGATAACTATTATCATCAATCTCTACAGAAAGGCACATTAAACAAAACTGTGCAATTATTAGCTGAAGGTTATAGATCTAGAAACCAGGCAGAGCTCCTGAGCCCAGGGCTCAGCTCCAGATGTCAATCTGTTCTCCTCCCTGTCTGCAGTGAGTGCACCCCAGGATGTACCTTATTCTGCTCAACTTGAGTCTTCACAGCTTCAGTGTCAGCAGGTGTTGGTGTCTGATGCCATTTTGTCGCAGTCATGTTCATTTTCTGTAACCACTGCATCATTGCACTTGATTCTTCCTGAGCCTTCTGCAATTTGAAGAGTTTAGTATTCAGTTCAGCTATTTTGTCCTTGAGTAAGAGGCCAAGATCTTCATAACCATGACTTATGTCAGTCATATCCTTTTTAATGGATGTTAAACCTAGGAGTGAGAAAATAATTATGCTGACATATGTCTGAGTATTGGGAGTAAAGGTCTAGAAATAAAAGTCTGTTTTACATGATATTCCCTTTCATTTTGTCACTTGTAAGCTCACTATGATATATCACAGACTTTTTAGAACTAAAAGGTTAGTTCATCTTATAATGCTATTTAATAACAATTCAGGAACATACAAGTGAAATTTAAAAAGGCATTTTGAATAGAATAAAATATTCAAATAATAAAATGTATTCCTCTGGCACCAAATTCAACAAATTAGCTCAAAAAGACATTATTCCAAAGGACAATGTATCTCAAACTAAAAAGGAGCAAACAAAACCACTGGCAAGAGTCAGGGATTTAGCTCAGTGGTTCCACCACCTGCCTCGCAAGTGCAAGGTCCCAAGTTCGATCCCTGGTACCAAAAAAAAAAAAGTGCCAAATTAAAATACTGGATTTCACTAATTTCAGATGAATAATTTTTATAGAAAGTTACATAAATATATTTATGAAGATTGTGACTATGTGTATTATATGCTTTAACTTTTTAATACAGCTGCTTAGAATTTCTCAAAAAACTCATGCTACCATTAATAATCATTTAAAATGACTATTCACCTTTACTTGTCAAAAAATCCTGTGTATTTGTGTCTGTCCCTTCACCATTTAATATTACTCCACCTGCAAAAATATGAACACCAAATTAATTATTTTCCAAGAATATCTATACATTAACAGCATGTCATTAAATCAAACACTATAAACAGTAATCATTTAAAAATGTTTCTACTTGAAAATGTAAAATATTATTTCAACTTCAAATGAAGGCCCTCGTATCTTCTCTTCTACATAAAATGTATTCTGGGGGTGGGTTCTGGGGATTGAACCAACCCACTGTCTTGTACATGCTAGCAAAGTGCTCTACCACCAGGCTATATTCCCAGCCCTATAAATTTAATTCTTAAAGTACAAAATGATCATCTTTTAAATACTAGACTTCTACCCATTTGTATTAAATAAATTAGTCATTAAATATTCACAACAATTTCCTGATAAAGTTGCTCTATAGCTAAAGTTATCTTAATAAAATTCCTGAGTTCAGAAGGTGCTTGGAATACATGGTGTTGAAGGAAGCATGATGACAGGTGAGCAAAGAGCACCTGTTTTACCCAAGGACTGAACATGGCCTGGGAAGCCACACAGTGTTGTCACAGGCTTCGTGAAGGCCGAATGATTTTATTTATTTATTTTAATTTTTTTTTTTGGTACTGGGGATCGAACTTGGGACCTTGCCCTTGCACGGCAGGCACCGGAACTACTGAGCTAAATCCCCAGCCTGGCAGAATGATTTTAAAAGGCAGGACAGAAAAGCTAAAAATAAAACAAAACCCAGAGTGAGCACAGTGGTTCAGGTGTCTTGAGTTTTGCAGTCCGAGTATCTGAATTAAAATCCCAGCCCTACTAGCTATGGGCTTGGACAAACTCATCAACCAACCTGGAGGGATAACAACACCTAACTGGTAAGGGTACTGTGGGGACTAAAGATAGTTTACCTACTGTGAACAAACAGGAACTACTCAGTGGGTAGCAACTATTACAGTATTTCTCTTTCATTTTAGAACCCTCTAGCATTGGCACCTTTCTAGAATCAGATATTTTTTAAAAACTGTACTTTCTCATACTAGTATCCATTAGCCACCTATCCAAAACACAAAGACCATTTCTCAAATTTACCACACAAGAACAAAGTGAAACAAATAGAAACATTTAATTTGAATCTTGAGTTCTGTCTCTTTAAAAAAGTTACACACAGTGTACACTGGTAAGGAAGTAAAAAGTGAAAATAACCTGTGGCTAATTCCTACCCTACCTGAGAGTAACTAAGACTCAAATATATATATA